CCCCCCCCCCCCCCCCCTTGAGCCCTGCGTCACTGCACACTGTCTCCATCGACTCCAGTCAGCCAACTGTCGTTGAGAGTCACGTGATCCTCAAAGTTTCACGATGGTTACGGCCATTCGCGCTTCGCTGGTCGCTCTCTTCGTCTTGTCTGCGGCGGCGGGCAGCATTAGCAGCCCCAAGGATGGCAGCGGCAGCAATGCCACGGTAAGCCTTTTGCAATGGACACTTAAGCACGTGTGGTAGTAGTAATGTAACGTACATCCATCCGTGTGCTGCATGAATTCGCCGACCTCGCGTGCATGTGTGCATCCTTTGCGCACCGGTGCAGGTTCTGGGTCGGTCCGTGGAAGTGTCCGTGGATGGCCCAACTGATGGCCCCGTCGTCAATGCCCCCGTCGTCACCATTGACGACCTTGAGGACTGGGAAGACATGGAGGAAATCAAACCCGAGGAGCTGAATTGCGTCGTCATTCCCTCTGAGAGCGACGTGCTTAAAGCCGTCCCCGTCATCGAGGGTGAGTGAGTACTTTAGACACGCTTTTGACGCACACGTTTGCAACATTTGTATGCGCGTAGAGATTGGGAAACCCCAGGACCTCAAGCCCGTCCACTTGAAAAAGACAAAGAGCGGGTTCCTGGCAGGCATCAAGTGGTTCGGGCACAAGCTGCTGGCGCCCAAAAAGAAGATCTGCCGCGAAGCCAAGAAACGGGCGTGCAAGGTCTCCACTGCAACCTCCTCTTGCGTGCAGATGAGGTTCTTTGTCCGGTGTTCACGCGTGTGCGGGTGTGTCGTGTGTATACGTCAGAGGCTGCTAAAGGACCCCGCCAAAGTGAAAGAGCTTGAGGAGCAACTGAAGAAAATCACCGGTGCCGACGACCTCGAGGTGCAGTCCATGACAGCACCCAACCAGGAGGAGCCCTGCAAGCTGCTTTTGAGCGTGTCAACCAGGCATGAGGAGCTGGCCAGCAAGTACATACTCGATAACTTACCACCACACATACGCGCGCATCATGTACGTATGCACCTGCTTCTTCGTTCACAGAGCGGCTCGGATCCAAGCAGAGTGGTGCCCCCTCTTTCACCCAGACGCACGGGCATCTTCCCCTCCACTTCGACGGAAACGCCACACACATCACCACCACATCCACGGGGTTCGAAATCCTGCTCGCCATCGGAATCGTGATCCTCATCTGTCTGATCTTCGGGGGTTGGAAGGAAGATGAGGGGAAATTTGTTTAGTGAGACAAGGAAGACTCCAGACAAGCATCGACTCGACGAGCAATACGGGATGCGCATGCGCACGCGTGTGTGTGTGTGTGTTTCTTTTTTTTCCGTCGTTTCTTTTTTTCTGCGGTGTCGCCTCGTCTCTGCCTGACGTGTGTGGGGTTCTGTTTGTCTGACAGGAGGACAAAATCGTTGCAAAGATGAACGAAGAGACGCAGATTTGGCACGAGAGGAAGAAATCACGGATCCAAACTCCCCCGCCCCGCCAGACAAGATGGGATCGACATCATTTATACACGACAACACACACAGCCAACACATATCAAGGCGACACCCATCAAGCCAACACACTAAGAGCTGAGCCAGTCCGTCGACTCACTTGAATGCCGCTGCGGTCAGCCTCCCTACTCGAGAAGCTAGCTGACCTGCTCGATGGCGAAAACACCAACGTGCTCATCATTGCAGTTTGAGTGAGCATATTACCATTCTACTGCGTGTAGACAGAGGGTGCGCACGTTGGCGACATACAGACGCCGCCCCTTATTATCCTAATGGGTGCAGACAGAGAGACAGACAGGCAGACAGACAGACAGACAGAAAAGGAAGGGAAAAGAGTCTGTCTTTCTCTCATAAATGAATTGAACTACTTGGCCCATGACTGATGTGTGTCGTGTCACGGTGTCCCGTCCGCCCCCATCCCCCATGTGACTGGCACGAATGCGCGTGTGCCTGTTGATCTGTCACTGAAAGCAGCTCGCTGCTTTCGAGCACACTGACTGACCAGTCGACACCCACACACAGGACAAACGAGTCGCAACGATACACGACACAACACAACAGAACAGAACACGACGCTTCACGACATGTACGTACAAACACGTCCCTCTCCCTCTCTCTGCAGGCAAGCAGGCAGTCGTGCGTGTCATGCACAGAAGACCACAGGCAATACACACGCACGAAAAAATACATTGAGACACCATGCACCAAAAATACGGTGTCTGGTAACACTGCCAACACTGTCACGTACGTAAGAGCTAGAGCACATAGGTACCAGACTATGCTATGCTGGTGGGGCTGCAGGAGTGATGTGTATGTGCATGTGCATCTGTATGTCTGTGTCTGCTAGATAGATGTGCGTCTCCGCTATCATATCCACTATCGGAATGCCTTTCACAATTGGCCTTTCATCTATCTATCTTGGTGCAGTGATCTGTGTGTCTGTCTCTGTGCGTTTCTGTCTGCCTGCTGTCTTGCCTTGACGTACCTCTCGTCTCAGTGTCTTGCGGCATTTTTGGCGCGATGTACGAGGGGATTTTTTCAAGGACGCACGGCGTTTCTGTCTGCCTGCTGTCTTGCCTTGACGTACCTCTCGTCTCAAATGTGACTGACTGATTTGCATGGCAATCAATTTGTGTTTATTCATTGGCTGGACTGCAATGAACGAGTGACTGTGGCTGCCTGTGTGTGTGTCTCTCTTAGAACTGCCCTGCGCATACTGAAACTGTCTGTGTGTGTGTGTGTGTGAATGCCTGCCTGGTTCTGGATGACTTAAAGAAAGACAGACAGCTGCAGCTGCACAGCTGAACGAATGTATGTGTGATGGATTGAGTGATGCATGCGGGGATTTATTGGAAAAGAAAAGGATGGATCTGTCCATGCGGCCTCCCGGCAGACAGTGACACTCAATCTTTTCTATTCAATTATTGCCCGTCAAATCTCTGAAATTGCTCTGGGACTTTGAAACCCCCACAGGCGATTTACCTCGAACCCTTATGCGAGCTTATGGCGAGCATAAGGGTTCAAGGTACGAGCGCCTTTATATACAACGACCGACGGCGGGCAGAGACTTGACAACACAAAGAGGGCACTTGTGGCCGATTCGGTCACTTGCAGGTCCAGCACGCACACACCGCCCACACACACCCACGGAAGAAATGCACACACACAACCAGCCAACCAGCCAACCGTCCCTCTCATGTCTTGACGAGCTTGACGAGTAGGAAGTCGACGAAAGCCGAGTACCAACATGACACTGAGGCCGCAGACACACACACGAGCAGGGCTTCTTGTTGCTGTTGTACCTTCATTCACTCACTGCCTCCGGTCGTGTGGTGTCGTGTGGCTGTCTGTCACCTTTACTGACGCTCTGCACTGTCCAAAGGCCCTCGTCGCGCATCTTGGCTTCGAACCTCCCCAGCTCAAAGGGCTCACCCAGATAATAAACGTACTTGCTGAACAGCTAGACACACGCAGATAGACAGACAACACCGCACACACAATCCATCCATCCAGCTTTGTGTGTATCGCCCACATCGCCCACGTGTCTACCCCTCTGACGCCTCTGGCGACTCTCGGGAGCAGTCGGTCGGTGTAGGCGGCATTGCACACGATCAGCGGCGCCTCCCTCTTGATCCACGGTGCCCTTCCCAGGGCCTCGAAGATGTCACCGGGCAGTAGCACGATGGTCGTCACTATCAGCACCGCATCGAAAGACGTCCCTTCGGGCGGTGACCAACTGAGAATGTCCCCCTGGACCGCCCGAATGTTGTCAGCAAGACCGGCAGCGGCACAGCGCTCTCGCAGCCTCTCAAGCGCAGCCTGCAGCGGAGAAACACACACGCAACAGACAGACAAGTCATTCATTGATCGGTGTCTGGTGCGTCGCCTGCTTTGCATGTTGGCTGACTTGGTCCAGATCCAGGCACCAGAGTGAGAGGTCCTTTTGTCTGATGTCGTCAGCCAGCTGCACCAGTGCGTATCCCTCCCCGGAGCCGACATCGAGCACCCTGGCGCCTTGTGGGAGCTCCGCCAGCACTCGGCGATAGAGGCTGGTGGTCTCCGGGCCAGCTATGAACAAGTTGTACACCAATCCTGCCATGATAGGAACAGCAAAGTCCTCTCAGTGAACCGCCGCTTCTTCGGGCTTGCCCTCCCAGCTCGCAGTCTCAGGCTGCGGTGCGCAATCTGGGTGAAATGGAGCCCCACGTGAGCACGACTGGTGGCATTTATCCCAAGTAGTTCATCCAATGCATGGCACACACAATCAATGGCATTCTGTTGCCTGCCTGTCCTGTCTGTCCCACATGATTGATGCCTGCAGGAATGTGCGTGTGTGGAGCGATGCACACTGGAAGGTAACGCAATGCATTGGTAGTACACACACTACTCCACACATCGCCGGTTGGCATGTCTGACTGCCTGTCTGTCTGTCTGTCTGTGTGTCTGTCCTGGGGTGAAGTTGTTCGCTGAGAGGCATCTCGATATGCCGGACTACGGGCCCACCCTGGCTAAGAACCTCAAAGGCGCCCAGATACATCTGCTCAGACAGCAGGTACTGTACGACACAAATAAACAAAGAAAGGAATGCAGCGCCCCCAATGCATTCATTCTTCATCGTGGACTGCACTGCCTCTGTGGCCTCACCTCAATCATACAATTAATGTGTACACGGCAGGACTTGAGCAAGATGGGCATCGAGCAGTTCGACCACCAGAAGGTCATCATGCACGAGATTCGGCTTGTTGTGAGCGGCGAGCATCCCGCGCAGCAGCACCCACTCGGCGGTGGACAAGTCCCGTACGAGCACCATCACGACGACGATCAGCAGGAGGTGTGGCAGGAAGAAGACGACGAACAGCCAGACGCCATCGAGGAAGGATAGGGAGAGGATGATACAATTTGTCCTAGTCTTCTTCATCGATGTCTCCTGCTGCTGTCCTGGTGCTGTATTTGCTCCTGCTGCCGCCACTGCTGGCCACCGATCGTGGCCTGCTGCTACTGCTACTGCTGGTGGTCGTTGTGGTGCCGGGTTTGATGCCCAGGGGGATGATGGTGACTTGATGAAACTCATCCTGAAACACAGAGAGAGAGAGAGAGAGGCAAGAGGTACCGAACATTACGATACGTCAACGTGTGCATCTTGATGGGTCGAGCCCCTCCCTCACTCGGTGGTAGAGGTTTATCATTTGGAAAGTCTTCTTGACGACGTCCTTCTCCCTCTCGCGCACCAAGGCCTGCTTGCAACACACACACACGCACACCCACGCCAAGACGGGCAATCAAGGTTATGCAATGGTGTGCGGTGCTGTGCTCTGCTGTCGCGAATTGTGTTGACTGACCTTGGCCTGCTGTTTGAAGCTTCGCGAGTGGATGAGTGCCAGTGTGGTATAGGCGTCAAAGAAGGGCTGAGGGTTGTAGGCCAGCCTCAGGGACGGGTCCACCACCTCATCCAGCCACCTGAGCAGCCATGTATCAGGCACTATGACGGGCGACATGAACGGCAATCACGTACCTTCTCTTCAGCTCACGCAGTGCCCTGCACTCAAAGGCCACCCCCACGGCAAGCACGTCGGCCTCGCGGATGTGCGACGCCTGCCAGACAGACATGGGAAGGTCTGCCACTCACCCGTCGTGTGTGTGCCTCGCCGGCCTCTCGCCTGACCTTTTCGACTGTGACTGATCGGACGGAGCAACTCGACGGCTGCACCTGCGACGCACAGGCCTGCAGCCTGGCGAGCTCCGCCTTGGGCACTGCAGCGCGCCACGCACACAGAGGCAGGGTAGGTGTAGGCTATGCGTGCGCGCCGCACCAATCGGTCAATCCAACAAACCATCATATCATGGGGCACGCAAGCGGCGAGTGTGTGCAGTGCAGTGCACGGTAGGTACCATTTGTGAGGCAAACGATTCGAAGGTCCTCCTGTGCCACACGTTGAAACAACCTGCACACACTCACAGACGGAGAGAGAGAGAGAGAGAGAGAGAGAGAGAGAGCACTGTAGAAGGCTATAATTTTCGTAGCTCCGCTCCGCTGCCCACCATTCGTCCGGGATGGCTCGCGAGAGGTCCCACAGGCCTTGTGTGTCCGCAGGGGCGAGGGGCACGTATGCCCGAGGGATCGCCTTTGGCTTGGCGTGTTTGACCTCGCCCTTGGTCTTGCCGCCCCTGAAGATGAGTTGGTTGGGCACCGCCAGCACATCGATGCCGCTGCGGGGGTCAAAGGGGTCTATCTTGTGACGCGCAAGGCCGATGACGCGTTTGACAAGCGCAAGCTGAATCGGACGACGCACCAGCTTCGACGGCATGATCACACTGCAGGCTGGAGTGCCATCCTGGCAGGCACCGGAAGGGAGCCGACCTGCACACAAAAACCGGACCAACCGTCGCAGACAGACAGACAGACACAGGTGAATGAGTGAATGACATGAGTGTGTGTGTGTGTGTGTGTGTGTATGTGTGTGTCGTCTTGCTGGCTGACTGCGACGCTCCTCAGGCAGGCTGCCTGCTTCCCCAGGGGGGCATCATCGCAGGCACAGACGTCGCCGCAGATCTTGGGCTTTGCTCGGGATGGCTGCACATTCTTTGCTTCCAACATTGTCGCGAGCCCAACGCAGCCCATCATGAGAATCAATCAATCTTCGTGATTCGCTCTCCCAGTGCGAGCTAGACTTCTTTTCCTTCGCTGCTCGCGTTTGTCTCCCTCGGGAGTGTCGTCTTGAGCGTCGCTCAGGCGTCGTCGGGCAGAAATGCGTAGCTGGAATGTGCGTCGCCGTCGGGTCGACTGACTGCTCACTGGCTGACTGACGCGAGCGTGGTGAAGGACGGTACGGTACTTACGCCATTGCGGTCCGCACGTTGACCTGAAGTGCCACCCACCTACCCACCCAATCGAGTCGGCCGATGAAGCAGCGGAGTCGCGAGCGTCCTCCAGACGAGGACAGCGTCTACCCGGGTGTGGCGTCCAACACTGCTGCCAACCTCAGCCAGGTCCACAACCACAAGTCTGGTGGCACTCAGCCGTCGTCTTCAGAGACCGGCACCTCCACGGACTCCTCGACGGCCAACAAGGACGGCCGTGACTGCGAGAGCGACGAGCCGTGTGACCGGGACGGCGTCCTCGTGGCGCCCCTGCCCATCCCCCCTCCCTCCCCCTCCCCGTCCCCCAACAGTGGACCCTCACAGCACAGCGGATCCCTGTCAGTGATGCAACAACCCCACCACCCGTGGCCGTCATCCCTGCTCATGCATCCCGGGGAGTCGGTCAAGTCGTCCAGGCCGCCGCCGTCCAACGCCTCCACGGGCAGCAGCAGCGACGGCCTCTCCACCTCAACAGCGTGTTGCCAGGATCACCCGCGGCACAGCAGGGAGCGCGACGAGCCCAAGAAGCGAGGAGGTGCCATCATTTTTGCCAAACCTGGGGCCACCGACAGACGTCAAGGTGCTGCCGCTGTGACGTCCGACCATAGCAGGGGCGGTGGCGGGGGGGAGAGCGATCAGCAGGGTGGTGGGAGTGGTGTGCAGGATGGTGAGGGGGGGTCGATGTGTGGCGTTCGCATTTTGTTGGTGACGAATAAGAAGAAGGACCTGTGGATTCTGCCCAGTGGGACTTTCGAAGACAGGGACGTCACCATGGAAAACTGTGCAGGTGGGTGAGGTGGGCAGGGAGGGAGGGAGCGAGGGAGACGGCTGGTCTGGGTTCACTGCACTGCATTCATTCGGTGCACCTATTCGCTACATTCACTGTCTGTGTGTGGCTATGCGTGTGCGCGCGTGTTGGTGGTCAGTTCGTGAGATATACGAGGAGGCGGGTGTTCGGTGTTGCGTCCTGGCCGACCTGGGCGAGTACACGGCGTCCGACAATGTTCGTCCGCACCACCAGTCCACACTAACACGACTACCTCGCACATTTGGTCAAGGGGTCCACGTGTGCGCGTTTGTGTCTGTGTGTCAGCGGAGCGTGACGACCTATTTTTTGGTTCGGTGTGAGGAGGAATTGGCCGAATGGCCGGAAATGGACCAGAGGTACGTCAGCTAGCCAGCTCGTTTGGCTGCCAGCCAGCCAGCCAGCCAGAATGGCTGGCATGGGCGTACAATCCATCCATCCATCCATCCATCCATCATTTATCCATGGGTATGTCTGTCTGTCGATCTGCAGGGACCGGATGTGGGTGGAGGTGTCCGAGGCATGTGAGCACCTCAAACGCGACGTCGACCTCAGGGTCAGCAGAGAGAAGAGGGGGCGAGAGAGAAGAGGGGCAGCGGGGGACAGAGGGGCAGGGAGGAGTATGAGACCCAATGCGCCAGACTGATCTCAGATGGGCGTCACTTTCTGTCTGTCTTTCCGTGTGCTTGTCTGTCTGTCTGTCTGTCTGTCTGTCTAACAGGCATTTGAGCATGCGCGCAAGATCTACCAGTCCCTGCCGCTGCGGTCAGTAGGCACATCACGGTGTTTGGACATATCGCAAGACTGCATTGTCTGTCTGTCTGTCTGTGCTTCTGCACACAGGAGCGACGTGCCGTGCCACCCTGGGCCCCCTTGCAGCCCGGCGCAGCGCAAGACCACCACATGCCCGTCTTCATAGCCATAGCCACGCCCATGCAGACGGACACATCCATCCATCCATCAACCGTTCCTTGGCTGGCTGGCTGCCTGTCTGTCTGTCTGTGGATACGTATCTGTGTTTGGATGGATGGATGGAGTGAGTGAGTGAGTTGCCGTCTGCTTTTCGCTTTTCTCTCTGAAGCCTGCATGTGCCGCCTCGCCTCGCCTCGCCTCGCCGACACACATGACATCACATGACATGATGATGATGATGATACGATAAGGGGCGCGCGTACATCCGTGGATTGCATCGATGCTCATGGCTACACACCTGCAGCATAGCATACACACACATGACATGCCTGAATGCATCCCTTCTTCTAGGCTTTGCTCCCTTACTGATGGATGCCTGCTTTCAGCGGGCGGGCCTGTGTGTGTCTGCCTGCCTCTCTCCCGGTTGCCTCACCCTCTCTCTCCCTCTGCCTTACCGTCTCTCTCCCTCTCTCCCTCTCTCCCTCTCTCTGTGTGGGTGTGTTGTGGGTGCCAGTGTCGTGTTGTGCAAGCAGTGGGTGAGCGAGTTAGCCAGCCAGCCAGCCGACACAAGGAGGGTTTTTGGTTGTCCATCCTCCCCCTTTGCCCCTTTTCCCCTTTCCCCCTCCCTCCCTCCCTCCCTCCCTCTCTCCCTCGTTCAGTCGGAATCTTTTTCCTCGTGCAGCCCGACCCTTGCTATGCGTTTGCTACCACATGCTCACTTTGAGATTGTTGCCGGTCAGCCAAGCCAAGCCACCCTCTTCTGCATGAGTCGTGTGCGTGAGTGAGCGTGATGTGAGCTTGTCGTGTCTGTGGGTGGGTGTCCTGCCGTCTTTTGTTTGTTCTTTCCTTCTGTTTCTGTGCTGGTCGGTTTGTAGCACACCCACACCTGCCCACCCACGCACGCATCCATCCCCATCTCGCCCGCCCTAGCTTGTTTTAAGGCACACCACCAGCACGCACACAGGCAGACAGACAGACAGACAGACAGATGACGGGAGAGTTCATGTTCAGTTCACTCCTGTGGGCATGGCATGCCTTGTGCCCCCCCTTTCACTCACTGCCTCTCCACCTTTCTTTTTTGTCTCTTTCTGCTTTCTGTGTGGTGCTTGTGCGAGCCTCCCTCCCTCCCACTCAACGCCCGTCAAGCCCGCTCACCGGTTGGCCCAGAGGCGTCCATCCATTCCTGCATACCACGGGTGTGTGTGTGTGGATGGATGCCTTCATGGAGAGATAGTACAGTCTACTATCAGTCAGGCCGGCCAGATGGTGTGCCTCGGATGGGCTGGGCTGGCGGGCCAACACAGACAGGGAGGGAGGGAGGGAGGGACGAGTGGCAGAGAGAGGCCTTTAAATGCTTTCAAGGAAGGAAAAGGTGGGGGGCTGGAGGGATGCGGACGGACTCGCCTGTGAGTGAGGTTTGCGCTGCAGAATGACACGCATATCGTTCACAGCGGGCGGGCGATGCTGGCGGAGTACATTGAGGGGGGAGGGAGGGAGGGAGGGAGGGAGGTCAGGGAGTGACGGGAACAAGGGACGGAGCGCCGCTGACAACGCACACCACTCACTCGACGCGTGTGATTGATTTCATCAATGGGTGGAGGGCGTGTGCGTGGGATGGGTGGTGAGAGAGTGAGTCAGTGATCGTGTGTCGCCGGGTCGCTAAGGTGGGTGGATGGATGGATGTATGTGTGGTGGAGTGGTCGTCTTCCTGCCTTTCTGCCTCCCTCTCGTCTGTTCACGCTATGTGGCGTTTAAAGCAGGGGTGCATGTTGGGTGTGTGGGGCGGGGTGCGGGGTGGGTGCATGGGCGGATGCTTTGGTGTGTCAGTTACCTTCCACCCACCACCCACCCACCCATCCCCCTTTCTGCCTATTGTTTCCTCTCCTTACTCTACGTGGTTGGCGGTCGGTATACGTGTGTGAGCATGTGTGTGTGTGTGCGTGTGTGTGCGTGTGTGCTGCTTGTTGGTTGGCTGGTTGGTTGTTTGGCTAAGCGGGGCTGACAGACATGAATGACGTCATGCCATGACATGATGTGATATGAGTGTGTGTGTGTGTGCGTGTGTGTGAGAGAGTGTGAGTGAGTGGGCAAGATGACTGACTGACAGACGACAGATCGACGAGCAAAGAGACATTCCCGCGAAGGAGGAAGAGATGAATGAATGAAGGATTTGTCCATAACCAATCCACGGGAAGCAGACAGACAGACAGACACGTACGCCAAGTCGCAAGGCCTCGAAAGAAAGGCCCCACTCACTACTCACAGCCCAAGCCAACACGACCTGACCCAATCGCGTCCGTCCCATAAGGCATCAGTCAGGCCTCTTTCTGGCCCAGCCCTACCGCCTCCCTCTCTGCTGGCTCGGTGTCCGTGTCTGTTGGTGCGTTGAGGAGACTTGACATGATCTCCTGCGAGAGGGTGGGGTCCGCCCTGTTGCCCGACTGCTTCATCAGCTGACCCACAAAGAAACCCTCAAGCCGACTCTTCCCACCTCTGCACCGCACCCAACCACACACCATCCATCGCACACACAACTCGGTCCACTGCCTTCGTGGCGTGTGTGTGCATGGCTGACTGACCGGTATTGCTGCAGCTGAGTGGGGTTGTTGTTGATGATGTCGACGGCCATCTGTGTGATGGTGTGCGGGTCGTTGATGGACTGCATGCCCCTCTCGTCCACCAGGGCCCTCACCGAGCCATCGTCCCACTCAGACAGCAACACGGGCAGCAAATCCTTGGCTATCTGCTCACGCACACGCAGTCGGTGTGATGTGGTTGATTGATTGATGGATGGGTGTAGTGTGTTGTGTGTGGTGGGGGTGAGCTAACCTTGCCGTTGATGTACTTGCTGTCGATGAGCCGGAGCATCTCGGCCAAGCGGGCGGGACTGCGCAGACGAACCATGCACACATGACGTCGCGCATCCACTCCTTGACGGGCGATGGGTTGATGGCCTGCCTGCCTGCCTGCCCTTCTGCCTCCAGTCAGTGTGTCCGTACGTGAGTTTGATGTCGGTGATGGCCATGCCCACATTCTGCTTCTCACCCAGCCACCCAAATATGTCGTTGACCACCCATCTGCACGACAGCAACACGACACAACACCACAGAGACCTTCAGCCTTTCCCCTGTCTCTCTGGCTGAGGCTCACTCACCGTGCTGCACCGGACGGCTCCGCCCCTTCCATGAGTGTGGCTTCGAGGTACTCGGCTACCTGCACAGAAAGGCAGGCAGACAGACAGGGAGGGAGGGTGTCCTGTGCCTGTGCGCATGTGTGTTTGTGACCTGTTTGTCGTCGGTGAGTATCCTGGCGTCCTCTGGGTCCAGCCCCAGCTGAGAGGCGTACCGCTCCCTCTTACTCGCTGGCAGCTCCGGAAGCTCATTCCTGATAGACGCGCAGGCACGCACAAGGGGAGAGGGAGAGAGAGTGACACAAGGAGAGATAGAGAGAGAGAGAGAAGAGAAACGTGCCGTGATGAATGGATGGATGTCTTTGTTTGCTGGGTGAGTCGTCTACGTCTGTGTGTATTTGTGTGGACCTACCTCCATTGCTGTATTGTGTGCTGGTCGATGCTAAGTGGGGGTATGTCCGGTTCGGGGAAGTACCGGTAGTCCGCTTCGCCCTCCTTGACACGCATCACCTTGGTCGACTGACATGACATGACATACAACCAATGAATGACACACATATTGTTTGTGTGGGATTGTGTGCTGTGTGTCGTATGCGCTGTAGCCACCTGTGTCTTCTCATCCCAGGTGCGTGTCTCCTGCCTGATTCCCTCGTCGATGGACGACTGTGAGGCCTCGCCCTCCATGCTGTCATACAGCTGACACAGAGAGAGAGTGAATAAATGAATGATCAGCGACAGAGAGCACATCGATATATATCTTTCTGTTAAGCTGTCTGGCAGACCTCAGCTTGTCTGACGGTCTCGTAGTCGACGGCCTGCTGCACCGCACGGAAGGAGTTGACGTTCTTGACCTCAACCTTACCAAACAACCGACCGACCGATCCATGCAGACAGACAGACAGACAGGAAGGAGTCAGACAGTGATCCACCTGTCTGTCTGTCTGTCTGTCTGACCTTTGTTCTCAGTTCATCAGTGCCTTTTGGTCTGATGGACACGTTGACGTCGAGGCGCAGGGAGCCGGCAGCCATGACACAGTCGGACGCACCTGCAGGCACAACCAACAGACACATACGCTCGCACACGACACGTGCTGGCTGTCAGCCGAAGCGCCCTCCTGTCTGTCCTGACCGACCGATGTATTTGAGTACTTTGGCGAGTTCCCTCCCATACTCAGCCGCCTCCTCGCCCGAACGGATGTCAGCCTGACCCACCCACCCAACCACACATACACATACACAAACACACACATAAACAACGGTCGAGCCGCAGTAGGTGAGAGAGCGAGCCGAGCGGCCTCTGTTTGTGCGAGCGCTGACCTCGGACACAATCTCGATGAGGGGCACGCCCGCCCTGTTGAAGTCGATCAGCGAATAGTCCGCACCCAACACCGTACCGTCGCCACCCTGGTCCATCGAGATGCACACAAGGCAGGCACACAACACACGTGAATGGATTCAATGCCCACTCACTCGGCTGTCTGCCCCGCTGGCTGCCCGGGTAGCTCTTTGCTCACGATGTGCAGCATCTTGGCTGAGTCCTCCTCCATGTGCAGCCGCCGGATGCCCACTCGCTTGCCAGAGGGCAGCATCAGGTAGCCGTGCTCAGCTATCGGCCTGGCTAGGCCGCCACAGGCACCCACAACACAGTCAACACAAATCGCATCGCCTCACTCACTCACACTCCCTGACTCACTGACTCTCCCCCACCTGTCGTATTGTGTGATTTGGTAGTTCTTGGGCGTGTCGGGGTAGAAGTAGTTCTTGCGGTCGAACTTGGTCGACGGAGCTATAGCAGACAGACCACCCATCCATCCATCCATGTGCTGCATTGCATTCATGACCTATTTCACAGTTGAGTGCCAGCCCTGCCTTGCCCGCCAACTCCACCACACGCCGGTTCGGCACAGGAAGAGAACCTGTGCTCACGCCCACACCCACATGCATCGATGTCTGTATGGGCAGATGGTGGCCGATGATCGGACCACTGGAATGAATGCCTGATGTTGGCTGACCGACCGACAGCCATTCATACCTGGCTCGCCCACGCAGACTGGGCATATGTGAACGTTTGGGTCGCTGCTGTCGATGTCGTAGTCGGTGCTGCACGAACAGAAGGCCTTGGTCGCTGTGTCGAGCTGCACGTGACACTCCACACCGACAACCGTCTCGTACCTGCACACACACACACACACACACACACACACACACACAGGCAAACGATCAGGGCGCAGTGAGGCCGGTGAAGGCGGCCAGAGAGTGGACGTGGTTGGCTACTTACTTGGATGCGACAGTATCGAGCATCGGGTTCTTCTTGCGCTCCTTCTTGTTCTTCTTGGCCATCATCCGGAGGCGCGTCCGTAGCGGACGCCGCCGGACACCTGCACAAACACAACACAGAGAGAGGCATGCGGGCAGACACACACAAATCACCATCCATCCATCCATTGCAGTTGCTTCACACTTGATCTCAGACATACACGATACGTACCCAGGGCAAGATCTCTCCTCTGAGGCCTCAGCAGTAAGGCTGACCGAGGGGCCACAAAAGATGCCGCCCTCCATGCCTCAGCCAGACAGACGCCAGCTGTGAGCAACACTGAACCTCTCATCAAGACCGTCAGCCATGAGAGTCGGATGGGATCTTGCATGGATCCCTTCATCCTGAGCATCTCCCCCCCTCTTTTTTCTCTCCCTCCCCGCGCTCAGCTCGCAGATCTGCGAGCTTAAAGCGAAGGGAGAGTCAAAGGTCGACTGCGAACAGCTGCGGACGGCCACAGCCCGTGCTGTGTGACGGAGATCTCGTGAGGATCGCGGCCAAAGATGGATGGTGGCAGCTCTGCGCTTCTGCTCGGCGAGGGCAACTTCTCGTTCGCACTGGCGCTCTCGACTCTGCTCAGCAGGTCAGGCCACTCACACTCACACACACACACACACACAGCCACACACACACACAGCCACAGCCACACTCACACAGCCACAGCCACAGCCACACGGCAAGCGCGATGAGTGACTTGGTGTGCGTGTGTGTGTGACGTGACTGGCAGGAAGGACGAGTGCGAAAGGACGAGGGCGCTGCGCTATCTGGGTGTCGCCCGTCCGCCAGACCGCTTGTATGCCACATCCTTTGACTCCTTTTCGGAAGTACACCGAAAGTACCCCGAGGCCCATGGGATCATCGAGCGGCTGCACAGGGCACAAGAGGTACCTGTACAGGTGCTGCACGGCATCAACGCCTGGGCTATCGATGCACACTTCCCAGGCGCACGGTTCGACCTCATTGCATGGTAGGTAGGCCAAAACAACACACCGCACAGACAGACAGACACACGCAAAAGGTATGTATATGTGCGAGAATCGCGTTGCGCTGCAGGAACCACCCCCACCTGGGAAAAGAGGATTTCCGCCTGCATCGCTTTCTGATGGCCCACTTCTTCTATTCTGCGGCAGAGGCACTCACACCTGGTGAGTCGAGCACATAGCTATGCATAGATACATACATGACACACACACCTCCCACACCACACATACACAGGCACACACACGACGTGCGCACAGGACAGGACAGGACGCATCGGATCTGCTTCATGTGCGGTCGGTCAGGTGGGCTGGTGTGCGTGAGTCTGGTGGACGGGCAGGCCGAGAGATGGGAGGTGGTGCAGCAGGCACAGCGGCACCATTTGATGGTGGGTCGATGCACACATACTCACAATACATACTGGCCAGCCAGCTGGCGTCCGTGTGTGAGTGTGCGGGTGTGCGTGTGTGCATACTGCTTCTGTCCATTTGAATACCCATCAGCTCGAGTGTGTGGATCCCTTCGAAGACAGCGACTATCCCGGCTACCAGTGCAAGAGAAACAAAACGGGACAGGTAAATTGCATGTCATGGCATGCACAGTGAGCGATAGACATCATTTGCTTTGACAAACTGGCTGCAGTCCTTCAAGAATCTGCACACCAAGCAGCACGTCGGCAGCGAGATGCGCTCATTCACGTACCGATTCAGACACGAGTCCGCAGCCCAAGACCGTCCCCAACAGAGCAAAGTCGCCGCAGCACCATCCAGCAGCACCAACGGCATGCCACCCGACGCACCATTAGACCAAGAGGCCACCACGGGCAGAGTGCCTGGCGACGACAAATGGGGAGAGAGGGTTGCATCAAATGGGCAAAGAGCGCTATCATCCCCGGCTGCCGAGAGCGACTTCATCTGTCCGCACTGCAAAGTAAACATAGCGCAGCGCACCAACGAGTGAATCAATGGCTGAATACCAATGGCCTGGCCTCTCAATGCATCGTTTTCCCTTCCAGAAGGAGTTCAGATCTCTCCGGGGGCTGAGGACACACGTCCGGCAGGTGAGATGGATGAACGTGTCACTCACGCAAATCCTGTCTCTCTGTTCGTTCTGTCTCACCACTCACTCACTGTGTCCACCCACGTACATTGATTGATGTCAATGAAGGTTCACGAGCTGAAGAAGTATGGAGACGGCTGGCGGCCGCATCGACCGAGGATCCTGCAGTGCGCCGCGTGCGACCGAGCGTTTGCAGACCTCGAGGCCCGGTAGGTGGGTGGGTGGGTGGTTGGACGACGGGTTGAGTGATGGGGCGGTCTCGCCATGCCATCCACCGATACGTGGGAGGGAGGGAGCGTATATGGATCCATGCTACATGTAGGTGGCAGCATGCGGTGGCCAAGCACACGTACCAGGGCGCTGATGAAGCCAATGAGCCATCCCAGTCAACGAGAACACTAGATGCACCCTCTTTTGACTCGTACTACCCTTGCCCAATCTGTAAGCCACCTACCTATATGCGATCAATGCAACGTGACGACCATACCGATTGTATATGTGCGTGCATCCGCAATTAAGTCTCTGTCTCACCGACTTGGTGCGTGTGTGGACGAGTGCAGGTGGGTTGGCCGTGCCGGGCGAGTGGGGGATCCATCAGCATCTCGAGTCCCTCAAACCGATCGTCGGTCTCGTCGCAGAGTGTGTCTTGTGCCACCGACAGTTCATCGAGTACAGAGCGCTCCAGCAGCACCGGAATTTCTGCAAAGCCAAGCAAGAAGGGAACAAGGGAATTATTGCGTGAACTGGGTGGGCGGATTGATCGTGATGTGCGGCTGGCTGGACGTCACTTAACTTGTGTAAGCGTCGGAGGGCAAGGCAGCATATACACATGTGGGCCTGTAGCATGGGTGTGATACTATTGCATATTACATAATATATATACGTACATCCGGTGCTGGTCTTTCTGTCTGGTAGATATGTACAGTGTTGATCTAGGTCGGGGAGACACGCACGCATGCAATAATAGTTGGATGCCATTTCAGAATCCGAATGAAATTGGTTACACCAATCGATATCGTTGAGTGTGTTCGCTGCGAGTGCGTATGCGTATTACAGTCAGTAGTATATCGGTTAATTGATATTTCCGGATGATGTTGGTTGTCGGTCGGCGTATGTGGTGTCGTGCTGTGTTGTGTTGTCCACCGGTCTGTCTGCCACTGGCCGGTCTGGTCTGTTGCAAATCTGTTGTCGGGTGCGGTGCTGACTGACCGGTCTGTCTGCTGGTTGACCAGACCACCTCGGCATCCATCCCCACCATGTTATGTTCGCACTCTACGCCACTGGGCAGGGCAGGTTCTCGTCATACATATTGGTCAGCCAGGTTCTCGTCATACATATTGGTCAGCCAGCCAAAAAACCGAACAACGAAATCGTCACGTCTGCCTGGTGCGTTGTTCGACTACTGCTGCTGTATGTTTTGTTTTGCCACACCAGGTGTGGCTCCACCGACCCGACTGGACCATCACAAGCCACCCCGCCCCCGAGCACTTTCCCCTCAGGAAGCCCTGCGAGTCGCTCTCTCTCGGCGGCGCGTACAGTACAGCCCCCTCCCAATCAATGTGTGAGGCCTGCCTGGCCCCCTGTGCACACAAACACATGCATGCCGCAGCAAGCAAGATGAAGGAAGGAAGCCAGACGTCACGTCAGCCGGCAGCAACGTCGAGGAGGTGCGGTGGCAGAACGGCGGGCGGTTTCCTGGCATCCACCGACCGGCAACAGTGACAGCAACAAATAGCGTGGGGCCTGCCTGAGGCGATCGGTGGATATGATATGCGTGGCTGGCCTGCGGCCGCTGCGATGCCGTCCACCTGAAGTGCACCTGCAGGGACGAGAAAGAGGCGACGGCGCCAATCGATCAACTGGTGTGGTGGCGGGACAGACAGACAGGGGAGGGCTCATGGGGATGGGGACGGCACGGGGAGAGTAAGTAGCTAAGCGAGCCCAAGGCGGTGACTGACGCCATTGGCCGCGGCTCGCTCGCCGCGGTCCCCCAGGTCACTCAAGCGGCTGGCTGCTGAGATTCGAGATCATCTGGTGAGTGGAGAGAAGGGATGGGACACACCACACCACGCCACGCCACATGGCCCATTCATTCCACATCTGTCTGTCTGTCTGTCTGTCTGTCTCCCTGCCTGCCCGCGACGACCAGACCGCTCCTTCACTTCAAGGCGGTATTTGGCCGTCAGAGTCGGCGTTGTTAAAAATTCTTTTTGAGTTGAGTGGAGTTGAAAAACTTAGGCGTTATAGACTGGGGGCGGTGGGGGTGTATATATTAATGTGTGTCATTTGTTTTGGAAGTGAAGATCGAGCAATGGCATCTCGCCGAGTAATCGATCGAGTGGCGGGCGGTGCATTATCAATCCAATTGGAATGCATTCCAGTGGGGCGAAGCACGCCATTGGCTCACTCGAGCTCGTTGTGACTAGCGTCGCAGACAGAGAGACACGCGGCAATCAGCTTTTCAGATCCATTCACGAGTCTCCGTCGATCAAGCGAGACATCGCAGTCAGTACCGGCACGCTCGCTCGCATACGTGTCCATTTGTATGACACGCATCATGATGCAGACACAACTACTTCCTGCCCTTCTTTCCGCCCTCCTCGCCCTCCTCGGTATCGCGTCGCCGCTTGAGGGCGCGATATGGTTCCGCGGTGACCGCAGGAGGAGGTGCTTGGCCGCCAAGTACCAGAATGGCCATCTTCCGCAGCAAATTCTCCTCGCCCGCCGGCGAGCACGAATACGCCATCCAATCGACCATGTAATGGTACTTCTCTGGCACATCTGGCACCAGCTTGCGGGCCTCGGAGGGCATTGGAATCGAGTGTTGAGTGGACCACTCAACATGGTCCGAAAGGGCATTATAGATCATTATGCGGTGTCCCACGCCTTCCATGTACCGGCTACGCCGCGCATCGGTCTCTGCATGAAAGAGCCACCCGAGATATACAGAGGCACATCACATACACACACCCATACACGGATTCGTGTATGGTACCTGTATCTGCATGCAATCGGGGGTCTTCGAACATCTTTATGAGTTGCCGTCCTGAAGTATATCGTGTGCTGTGCACGAAGCACGCTTCACTGGGGTCCAGCAGTGCCGATAGCATGTCGAGGGCCTTCTGATCGCCGGGGTCGCGCGCAAGCATCGTTTTGAGAAGACCTGATATACTTCCGGAGCTGATATGTGCGATGTCGTCCCACTCGAATGGCGCGGACTCGGTCAGGGGTATGATGCGCATAGTCGAGAAGTCGATGAGCTGTAGGTCTTTGGCTGATATCTCGGTCGACAGCATGACGCCTTCCTGCACAACACACGAGAGAGAGAGGACAAGGAGAAAAAGAGGGCAGGGTTGACTGCATGTACGTGACAGGCTTGACTACCTCGCCCGGGATCTGAAAGCCGAAATTTGGGTCGATGGCCTCCGTGGGGTGCAGGGGAAGGAGAATGTTCCCGCTACATGGATGCATGCATTCATAAGACAAATGGTGTCTCCGTGTCTCACTGGATTGTGCAGCTCTCTCTGTCTACGCATTTAAGTCGCCATGGTAAAGGCCGTGTCGGTGCAGTCGATAGACGCCTTCGAGCAGAAGTAGCACCAAAAACCGCCCAAAAGGCATCTTGACGGAAGAGAGGTCCGCGCCCTCCCCTCCAAGAAGCGACACGTGCCCCTTGACCGACACAGTGGTAGCGGGGTCAATCACAAGATTCACAACCTTGGCCGACTCATTCACAAAGTGTTCCATCATGGCCAGCACCTCGGCGAACGGCACACCGGTCATTTCGCCGAGGATCATGTAGTTTTCCTCGGGCACTGCGATTGGCTGAATGATGGCTGCCTTCACGCAGGTCGAAGATCGACATGTCTCCCCTTCCTCTTTCAGATTGTAGAAATGAGGGATTTCGGGAATGGCATTGAGGATGTTCTCTACTTGAAGAAAATAGTGGCATGATGCGAGCTTCGCCCACAGTCAGCCCCCAAATCGGCTCGCTGGAAAACCTGCCATACTGTCCACTGCCTGGGTCCTCAGCAGCGCCAACTAAGGCAGCCAGGACCCGCCACTTCGAAATGGTGCGTACGTTGAGATTCGCTCTCTTGGTCGCCGTACAGGCACACCTCACATGTACGTCAAGGCAAAGAAGCGAAGCAGGGGGGGGGGGG